TGCTTTTTGTAAGTAATGGTATGTATAGACTCCCATCTGTACAGTAGGACTTTTCATTGCCACTGCATTGACCATTACTTTTAAAACTTTTTAGTGCACAGACATAGAAAAATAAGTATTTTTAATCATAAAAGACATCATGAGTCATGTTGATACTTCTGATTCAAATTTAGGTTAACATATTGTACACATTTGAATCTATCTTCTTCCTGTGTTATAGGCTGAATAGCCTCTGCACCCCCACCAAATACATGCCAAAGTTTCAAAATAAGAATAGATGAACATAGATGCTAAAATCCTCAACAATATATTAGCAAACTGAATACAGCAATGTTTCAAAAAGATCATACACCATGATCAAGTGGGATTTATTCCAGGAATGCAAGGTGGATACAACATTCACAAATCAATAAATTTGATTCACCATATAAACAAAATGAGGGATAAATACCACATGATCATATCAATAAATGCAGAAAAAGCATTTGATAAAATCCAGCAACCATTTATGATGAAAACTCTCAGCAAAGTGGGATTAGAGGGAACATATCTAAACATAATAAAGGCCATATATGACAAACCCACTGCCAGCATCATACTCAATGAGCTAAATCTACAAGCATTCCCCTTAAGATCAGGAACAAGACAGGGATGTTCACTTTCACCTCTCTTATTCAACATACTACTGGAAGTACTAGTCACAGCAATCAAAACAAGAAGATGAAATAAAATGCATCCAGATTGGGAAGGAAGAAGTAAAACTGTCATTATTTGCAGATGACATGATACCGTACATAGAGAACCCCAGAGATTCCACCAAGAAACTAGTAGAACTGATAAATGAATTCAGAAAAGTAGCAGGATACAAAATTAAAATTCATATGTCAGTTGCATTTTTTAAAGTATATTTTATTGATTTGCCATTACAGTTGTCCTATTTCCCCCCTTTATTCCCCTCTGCCTTGCACCACCCCACCAATATTCCCCGCCCCCTTAGTTCATGTCCATGAGTCATACATATAAGTTCTTTCGTTTCTACATTTTCTATACCATTCTTAACCTCCCCCTGTCTATTTTGTACCCACCATTTATGATTCTTATTCCCTGTACCTTTTCCTCCATTCTTCCTCATCTCCCTCCCTACTAATAACCCTCCATGTGATCTCCATTTCTGTGATTCTGTTCCTGTTCCATTTGTTTTCTCAGTTGCATTTTTATATGCCAAATAACAAATTAACGGAAAGGGAAATTAAGAAAACAATCCTATTCACAATTGCTACAAAAAGAATGAAACACGTAGGAGTAAACTTACCCAAGGATGTAAAAGACTTCTACTTGCAAAATTATAAGACACTGAAGAAATTGAAGATACAAATAAGTGGAAGCACATACTGTGTTCACGGATAAGAATAATTAACATCATTAAGCTGTCCATACTACCCAAAGCAATCTATAGATTCAATGCAATTCCTATAAAGATTCCAATGACATATTTCACGGAACTAGAACAAATATTTCAAAAATTTATATGGAACCACAAAAAGCCCCACACAGCAACAGTGATCCTGAGAAAGAACAAAGTTGAAGGAATCACACTACCTAATATCAAATAATACGATGAGGCAATAGTAATCAAAATAAGAATACCAATGCTACTACCAAAAATATAATTACTAGAAATAGTTTAAATTTTTGCAGGGTGTTTTGTTTAGGATATACTCTAACTGGGGTGCACAGTAAAGTTTTAAGCACTTAAAAATTCCTTTCTCTATGGCTATGCTACCAACTTACAGAGTAGATCCCTGTGATTATATTTACATAACTAGACCTCACAGGGGTCTACTGTTTGAATGGACATCTGATTAAATGTGTCAATGTGTACCCACAGAAGTCCACAGCAAGGAGGCAATATTTCATCTACTATGAGGGATATTAAAGGAGAAAAACAATTTTTTCCTTGATGTGAGAAAAGAATATTAAACAGAAGTAACATGTGAAAGAAGAGACAAAGAAATACTTGTCGTAAGGATGCTCAACTTAGGGGAAGATTAGCTGCACCTAGAGAGAACTTGAACAGCATAAAAAAAAGGACATGGAAACTATAAAAATAACCAGTCAGAAATGAGGGATACACTAATTGAAATGAAGAGTAATTTGCAGGGAATCACCAGTACAGTAGATGAAGCTGATAATTAAATCAGTGATGTGGAACATAAGAAAGAAAAAAACACCCAGTCAGAGCAGCAAAAAGAAAAAAAAAGAACTCCCTAACATGAAGACAATATAAGGAGCCTCTGGGACAACTTCAAGCAGACCACCATTTGCATCACGGGGTGCCAGAAGGAGAAGAAAGAGAGCAAGGAATTGAAAACCTATTTGAAAAAATGATTAAAACTTCTCTAACCTCATAAAGGAAATAGACATACAAGTCTAAGAAGTGCAGAGTCCCAAACAAGATGAATGCAACAAGGCCCACACCAAGACACATCATTAAATGCCAAAGGTTAAAGGCAGAGAATCTTAAAAGCACCAAGAGAAAAGCAGTTAGTCATCTGCAAAGGAGCTTCCATATGACTCTCAGCTGACTTCTCAACAGAAACTTTGCAGGTGAGAAGGGATTGGCAAGAAATATTCAAAGTAATGAAAAGCAAGGACCTATAACCAAGATTACACTACATGGCAAAGCTACCATTAAGAATACAAGAACATCCCAAACAAAAAATAAATGAAAGCTAAAGGGCTCATCACTACCAAGCCAGTATTACATGAAATGTTAAAGGGTCTTAAGGAAAAAAGAAGAGGAGGTGGAGGAGGAAGAGAAGGAAGAGAAGAACACATGAACAATAAAAAGGCAATAAATATATATATCTATCAATAAATGAATCTAAAAAAACAAAAAATAAATGGAGAAGCAGAACAGACTCACAGATACAGAGAACATTTTGACTGTTGCCAGATGGGCAGGGCGTTGGAGGGATGGGTGAAAAATGTGAAGGAATTAAGAAATACAAATTGATTGTTACAGAATAGTCACGGGGATGTAAAGTACAGCATAGGGAATGCAGTCAATAATATTCTAATAATTACATATACTGTCAAATGGGTAATAGATTTATTGATTGGGATGATCAGTAAATATGTAAAGTCTAATCACTGGGTATACACCTGAAACTAATATAATTTTGTATGTCAACTGTAACAGGAAAATAAAAAATGATTTAAATTCATCTTTCCATTTTAAGTGTTGGCAAATCATAAATACTGTTTCTTTTAAACTCTGTAAGCCAAACAAAACACATCTCTCAGATGGATTCAGCCCATGACTGCCAGTTTATTTTATATATATATAAATATATATATATATTTTTTAGAGAGAGAGGGAGAGAAATATCAATGTGTGGTTATCTCTTGTGCATGCCCCACTGGGACCCGGCCAGGAACCCAGGCATGTGCCCTGACTGGGAAACCAGCCGGCAACCTCTTGGTTCACAGACTAGTACCCAATCCACTGAGCCACACCAGCCAGGGCATGATATATATATTTTTATGTACATACAGAGGAGTGAACAAACTAGGTAAAGTCGGCATCTTTTACTCAGACTATAGGTAATTACTTTTCCTGAAGCCAGGGACTCTGAGCAAAGCTGGGGAACTCTACTGTGAATTTCCAGGCTGCTTTAGTGTGGGCTGTTTTGAACTGCCTCTTCTTGCACAATTATCTGAAAAAGGCAGGCTTCTTTATAATTAAGGGCTGACCACTGAGCACCCACTCTCTAGCATTGCCTATGCCCCAACACTTGGCTGTGTCCATTGTTTAGTATCTTTTCTCCTTTTCATTCCTTGTCTCCCCTTGGAGAATTTCACTGTCAGCTGATGATAAAACTGAGATCAGTACCATTTGCAAACTGCTCAGACAAAAGGCTTTAGAAGAGGGCAAAGCTGTTGTTTTAAACTAGGTTTCTTTTGTTTGTGTGATCTATGGATTTTATTTATTCAGCTTTCTGTTCCTGAAAACCCAGAAAATTGAAAACTAATTTGATAACAGCTATCTAAACATTTCTCCACAAAAAGGATTATAATGACATGAACTATAGCCATTTATTTAGATTACTTAAATGATTATATGTAACAAATCCAGATTCTGCATTTAATTGAATGATGATTTAAATACCTTGATCTATATGGAATTAGAATTGGGCAATCTCTTAGAATAGATTCATAGTAATTTTACATTTTTAAATTTGGGGAAAATCAGAAAGGGATGCTCATTATTCCCAATTAATAAAATCATTTGGCTGAAAGAGATCTAAAAAAAAAAAAACCACTCAGTAACTTGAATGCAAATAATAATAATAATAAAAACCTTACACATTTTTTTAAAACATAGAAACTATTCCTAACTATAAGACAGCTGATCTTGGGCTGAGGACTTCAATGACCCTCCATTTAACGGTCATATTAAATGAGGTGATTAAACAAAGTGCGTTGTCAATTTCTGCTTGAATCCCAGTTATGCATTGTAACTCGCAGAACTGAAATTATCAAGGATGAATTTTCGAAAAATTGTATCCGTTTGAAACTTTTAAAATGCTCACATTCATTCCCAGTACCGAGAATCAAAGGCAAAATTCCCGTGTAAAAAAATAAAAATCCAGGGCGATAGGTCACGGGCAGGTACTCCCCTTTCACAGACCAGAACCATAAACAATTCCTGCCCTTCTGATTCCAAAGATCTGGCTTTCATATACTCAGTGTTTTTTACTCTACCTCCACCTGTTCGTCCCGCCTTCCCCAGAACACCCCCACCAGCCACGCACGGTCCTCAGAGGTTCCGCGCATGCAATCCCTGTTCCCAACCTCTGCAATGTGCAGCAACCTCCTAGGATTCCTTAAAGCCCCGCCCTCCCCTTCTCGGCCTGTGGCCATTCGTTCAGGACCGCTCTGCCCACCTGTTTGGTTGGCCGGCGCCCTCATCATGCGTCATTTAGCCGCGCCACCCGGAAGCCACGGTTCCTACCAACCGTTCTTACTGCTGGCGGCTCTAAGGTGAGGCCTGAGTTTGGGTATCTCTGGGTGACGGGGGTCCCAGAGTTGAAAGGGGAAGAAAGCGGATCAGCCTCACTAAATGTTAGCCGGATGTGCCCACTCCCAACTTTGAGAGGGTGCAGATTTACTGTGCGTGAAGGCACATTGAGTGGTCAGCGTGGCCTTCCCCCTCCTCATTCCTCAGGAGCCCATCATGGCGACGCCCCCTAAACGGCGGGCTCTGGATGCCACTGGGGAGAAAGTGCTGCGCTATGAGACTTTCATCTCTGACGTGCTGCAGCGGGACCTGCAGTGAGTGACAGCGCCGGGGTGGGGCGTTAGGGACGTTCCACGTGGTGAGCTGGACGTTGGGAGTCAGGGCCTAGCATTCCGATTGGTGCGCAAGGCATTCGGAGCCCGGCCCTACGCGTCCGAGAGGGAAGAAGGGGCGACTGTCCCAGTGCGACTGGACCCGGACGTGGCGTCTTAAGCATTTGTCCACGCAAGCGCAGTCTGTGATGTCCCTGAGCGGTTAAGAGCTAGCTTTCCTAGGCCAGAGTTCTCAGAGTCAAAACCGGTTTTGGCCATTTAAGCACCCGTGTGAACACATGGTGCCTTGCCTCGTCTCTCTGTGTCTGTTTCCTTATCTGTGAAATGGGGAATTTGATGGAACCTTCCTCTGGTGGTGGTTTGGAGTTTTCTGTTCTTGTAAAGGATTTAATGTGGATACGAGGTCAAAGAGTATGGAAAATTATTATTATCATTATTAATCTGAGCAAGAAGTAGAATGTTCAGAACTAGAATTAAGAGCATCCTAAAAGGGATGGAGGACTTTTCTAGGGTGAGAAATGGACATTCTGATTGGAGAGAGGCATCGGGAATAGTATATAATACTAACAAATAATAGATATCAGCCGTGGCTGGTGTGTCTCAGTGGATTGAGTGCCGGCCTGCAAACCAAAGGGTAGCCGGTTTGATTCCCAGTCAGGGCACATGCCTAGGTCCCCAGTAGAGGGCAAATGAGAGGTAACCACACATTGATGTTTCTCTTCTCTTTCTCCCCCACCTTCCCACTTTCTAACAATAATAAATAATACATATATGGAGCTTACTACTTGACAGGTACCATTCTAAGTACTTTAAACACACATTTAATCCACCTAATGACTCTATGAGATAATACTTGTCATCCGTACTTTATAGACGGGGACATTGAATCCTAAAGAGGTTATGTACTTACCAGTAAGTCACAGCTAGTAAAAATCTCCTTTTTACTAGCCTGGGTTTGGACCCACACAGTCTGACCTGGAGTCCAAATCTTAACTTCTGCACTAAAACCTCTCCTTAGGGCACCATAACTTGAGGGTATCAGAGGGTCATGTTATGAGGTATTCCGAGAAGGACAGGGCTTCCCATTGGTCACCATTTTACTCTTGTCCCATCATGTCCCACCAGAAAGGTACTAGAGCATCGTGACAAGGTATATGAGCAGCTGTCCAAATACCTTCAACTGAGAAATGTCATTGAGCGTCTCCAGGTAAGGATGCCAAGGTTGGGTACCTTTTTGTGGGGGGTGGGTAGGGGAGGGGCATGGGAGGAGATACCTCAGACTGGAACCTGTCACCTGACATAAAAGTTAACCACTAACTCCTACCTCTTTTTCTCTGATCCCACAGGAAGCTAAGCACTCGGAATTAAATATGCAGGTGGACTTGGGCTGTAACTTCTTTGTTGACACAGTGGTGTGAGTGTCTGCCTACCCCTCTAATCCCACAGGGTTCAGCTTTCCCTTCCTTTGTTCAACAAATTGTTTGAGTATTTGCTATGTACCAGACACTCTGCTAGGTGCTGGAGATGTGACAGGGAATAAAATAGGACAAAATCCCTGCCCCCTCAGAGCTTCAACTTGGGGAAGGCAGGAAAGGGGAGTAAGAAGATCTTAAACTGTATGGTATGCTAAACAGGGGTGAGAACTTTCCCCCACTTCTTCTAACCACTGTTTCCTTAGCCCGGACACTTCACGGATCTACGTGGCCCTTGGATATGGTTTTTTCCTGGAGCTGACATTGGCAGAAGCTCTCAAATTTATTGATCGGAAGAGCAATCTCCTCACAAAGTAAGTCTATTTAATGAGGACAGTGTCTAAAAATGCCACTGTTTGCAACACCCCTCCCCTTTTTCCCATGGCTTCCTGGGATACTTAGGGACTCAGCTCCCCTCCTCAGGGCTAGGGCTGAGGAAAATAGGGATGCAAAGCTCAGCCCCAGGTATAGCACTTATTAAGCACTCAATGGTCTTTGTATTGGGTTGGCCAAAAAGTCCGTTTTTTTTTCCCCCTGTAAAATTATAGACACATTTTTCATTTTCACCAGTAAATTGATTGATTTGGATATTTTGAGTATGTTGGCTATCTCCTGTGTGGTATAACCTTGATTGTTCTCAACTAATGTATCGATTTGATCACTATCAACTTCAGCTGGTCCATCTGACCGTGGAGCATCGTCCAGTGAGAAATCTCCGGGATAAAACTTCACAAACCACTTTTAACATGTTTGATCAGTCATATCACCTTCTCTATACACTGCATAGATCTTTTTTTGCATTTCAGTTGTGTTTTCACCTTTCTTGAAATAATAAAGTAAAATATGCTGAAAATGTTGTATATTTTCCATCTTCAGCATTAAATGGCTACACAAAAACTTATCAATTTTGATAACTTTTTTTAAATGCATGCTGATATGACAGCTGTCACAATACAACCTAACAAAATTGTTTTGAATGAAGTTAAAGACAACTAAGTACTAGAGCCATTTTATGGGAAAAAACAAATGAACTTTTTGGCCAACCCAATATTTCTTATTCACACAAACATGCATTGGGTATCTGCTATATGCCAGACTCTGTGCTTGATGGTGGGGAGGCAGCAGTGAACAAGACAGAAGGGCTTCTTAAAGGCTTACATCCTAGAAGAACTATACTGTTACACATAACCACAATTTTGACCAGAGCCGTAGGGTCTAAGCCTATAAATCACTAACAGTAAAACAAGTTACCTCTGGCTTCACCTCTGGCTAATTTTTTTTTTCTTGCTCGGTACTCTCACCACACTGACCTGCACAGGCTTCTTTAAACATCCCAGAATGATCCCACTTCCGGGTGATTGCAGTGGGTGTTCTCTCTGCCTGCAGTACTCCTTCCCAGGTACCTGCATGGCTCCTTTCTCCTCACTCAGTGTAAGTCTTACTTAAATGTCACTTTCTCAATAATGTCTTTTGTAACATCACTTTAAAATTGCAACCCTTGGCACTCCTGATTCCCTTCCCTTGTTCTACTTTTTCTTTTTTTTCCCTAGCACTTATGACCTCCTAATGTTTACTTCTTTCTAATGTTCATTGCCTCCTCCCATTGGGATATAAGGCTTACAAAGGGAGGTATTTTGTCTGTACCCCAAGTGACAAGCATAGTACCTAGCATGTAGTAGGTATTTGTGTTTGTTGAATGAATTTAAAAGCATATGATGGAAACAGGTTGAAGGGAGGATTGAAGCAGATCTCTGTTGGTGGTGATAGGGAGGTAATGTGATAAGAAAGCATGGGCTGTGCTTGTTTTTAAGGTTTCATGCAGGGAAGGGGAATCGGGAGTGTGGATGAAAAGTTTGCAATGTAGCTAGGGAAGGCCTCCCAGAGGCAGTGACATTTGAGTCATTTGGTTGAGTTAACAAGACAGCAGGCTCTCTGGGGAAGAACATTCCTGGCAAGGGACCTGTGTGCCTGTGGTGGTAGAAGAATAGTCAGGAGAGGCAAGCATGGCTCATGTGCAGTGAGTGAAGGGATGCTGAGCAATATACTTAGATTAACAACACCTCACTAAAGTGAATACTACTGATCTAAAATTCCGTCTAGGTTATATTTATCTTTATTTCTATGTTTATCTCTTCCAAACTTGCCTCCCTTAGGGTTCTAGTACTTCTCTTTTCGAACCTTTGCAGGGTTTCAGTCTTAGTAGCCTACAAAGAGCCTCAGACTTGCTGAGATTTCTAAATCTTAGTGATCAGACCTGTTGGTGATCATGTTGGTTGAGGAGCCTACTCTCCTGGGCCAACACAGTTCTGAGCTGGTGGTCATTTAGACCAAGACCATTTCTTATAACAAATCTTTTCTTGTTACATCATGGGATTCATGAACCTTTCAAATAGATTTTAATTTTATGAAACTTGATGTCTTTCCCTAAAATGAGGTATTTAGATTGTTAGTGCCTGTTCCCTTGTCTGGTCTTTTTGGAATACTGGCATGGTTTATCAGTGTGATGAGAAATGTTGAATCTCTTATTACTTAATTATAATTAGTAGCACTCCCTAGAAGTTTAATCTTTCTAGAAAATGAGAATTTGAGTCTGTGTAGCTCACTCCCCACTTTAAAATGCTTGGTTACTTATGGCAAACTTTGAACTTTCTTTCAGGTTATTTTATGTGGTCAAAATGGCCTGTGAGTTCTTCCTGTTCTTAGTATATTTCTTTGTTTGGGGAGTGGGAGGAGCAGGTCTCTTTGTATATTCTTTCCTGATTACACAGAAAGGAGTACACATTCACACCCATAAACAGATATGTCATTATAGAAGGAGCAGAATAACCATCTGACTATTAACATTGCCTTGCATATTAAATCAGTAGTAGTAAATTAAATATATCCCTTTTGTGTTACAACTAGCATTTGGTGACTATACTTTTCTCCTTTTTAAGTGTTGATCTCACAGCCTTTCATAGACTAAGCTTGTACCATTAAGTGATTTTGTTCTTTTCTTTGATGTTCAAATTGTCCCTGATCAAGGGATCAAGCTGACCCGGGTCATTCCTCTGTTTTTTTTATCACTACCCTAGATATTCCTGAAAGCATTCTTGCTTCCTGGCAACAACACCATCCTCTGTTTATTTATTGTCCTTAAACATAGACTACCATCTTTTGAGGACTTCAGATTCCTTTCAGTGGAGTAGTCATTCACTTATTCCTTCAACATACATTGGGTGCTTACTATGTGCTTACTATGGGTGTTTTGGTTCCTGGGAATACAGCAGGGAACAAAGCAGACCAAGTCTCTGCCACATCTTACACAGTTTACATTCTGGCCAGGGGAGACAGACAAAAAATATGAAGACAGTGATGTAGTGTGTCACAGGTTGACAGTGCTACAGAGGGCCCTGGCTGGTGTGGTTCAGTGGATTGAGTCCTGGCCTGCGAACCAAAGGGTCGCCAGTTTGATCCCCAGTCAGGGCACATGCCTGGATTGCAGGCCAGGTCCCCAGTTGGGGGTGTGCAAGGAGCAAACACACATTGATGTTTCCCTGTCTTTCTCCCTGCCTTCCCCTGTCTCTAAAAATAAATAAATAAAATCTTTAAAAAAAAATAAAAAACTAGACAATGCTATAGAGGAATGCAGATTAGAACAAATTACAGTTGTAATTTTAAATAGAGTGCTTGATTGGATGTGGGTGTGTGAGAGAAAGGAGTCCAGGGTTTTGGCTGAACAGCTGGAAGGATGGAGTTGTCATTATCTGAGATGGAGGAGATAGTGGGGAGCACATTTGGAGGGGGAGATCATGAGTTCAGTCTAGGATATGTTAAGTGTGAAGTGCTTGTTAAACATTGAAGTTGAGTTTTTGAAGATTTAGTTAAAACTGCCAAGTCTGGAGTTAGGAGAGAGGTCTAGACTGAAAATATAAATTTGGGAGATCTTGGTATATAAATAGGTTCATACCATTTTTTTCTAATTTATCAGCCTTCTACTTTTTTTACAGTATTTAGTTTCCCTAAAACTGACTCTTACATTTACAGCACAATCCACATTTCTTGTGTTGATATCAAGATCCTGCATGATCTAGCCCCTCCCTACTTCTTGGACCTTATAACAATTTTCTTCCATCATTCACTTAATTTTCTAATACTCTGGCCTGACTGCTCCTCAAAAAGCTCTTTCCTGCCTCTTGGCCTTCTTTGTGGAAAAGACCTTCCTTACTGTTTAATTCTTACTCATTCTTTATTCTTCAGAAAAGCCTCCCTTAACCCTTTGTGTCATTGAGGATTCTTTTGGGTGAGACTGGTTTATGTAACTCAACATTCCAGGTCCAGAGTGGTTTCAGCCAACTCCAGCTTCCCATTTGCTTAGGTCTTTCTTGAGCCCCCTCTCTTACACCCTACATTTAATCCTTTGGTAAATCCTTTTGACTCTACCTTCAAAATATATCCCAAATCCAATGATTTCTCATCACCTCAACTGCTGCTACTATGGCCTGAGTCTCCAACTCTTGCCTGTCTATTGCAGTAGCTCCCTCACTGGACTTCTGCTTCCATACCAGATCTCCTTATCCACAGTGAATTCTCCGAACAGCAGCCGGATGGAGCCTCTAAAACCCTAGTCAGTTCACATCCCTGCTGTGATCACAGTCTAACTCCCATCCCACTTACAGTAAAAGCCAGAGTCCTTACCATGACCTTGTAGGTTTTACAGGATCTGCCTTCCCCACTTACTTCTCTGACCTCACCTCCTACAATCCGCTTTCATTTAGTTTTCTCCAGCCACACCGGTCTCTCTGCTGTGCCTCAAATATGCCAGGTACACCCCGACCTCAGTGCCTTTGCATTTGTTGCCCCTTGAGTCTGGAGCACTCATCCTCCACACATATCCAGATGATTCGCTTCTTCATTTTAAGTTTTTACTCAAACACTTCTCAGTGAAGCCATCCCTAAGCACTTTAATTAGAATTACACCTCCACTCTTGTACTCCTTATCTCTCTTATTGTCTTAATTTTTTATCATACTTAGAACTATCTGACATACTCTATATTTTATACCATTATTTGTCCCTCTCAATGAGAATTTCAGCTTCACGAAGCCAAGATTTTTGTTTGTTGTGTTTTCTGCTGTCTCTCCAGTACCTAAACCCACCAGGCATAGAGTAGGGATTCAGTAAATGTTTTTGAATAGTGCAGCCCGGATGATGGCCAGGCATCTCTGCATAGGAGTAGTTCTGGTAGTGGTAAGTCCAACCACCTGCCACGTGGGGGTCATGCCGGACATAGATAGTTCTGGAAGTGATGAGGAAGCCTCATCCTCATGATCATGGGGCTCACTTTGCCCTTTCTTATTTCTTTTCTCCAGGCTCAGTGACAGCCTCACCAAGGACTCGATGAATATCAAGGCCCATATCCACATCTTGCTAGAGGTGAGAGCAGTTCACCCTACTCCCAGACTCTGTCTCCAAATGCATTTACCTTCCTCAGGTGGTGACCTGAGGAAGGGAGAGAGCCAGAGACTGGAAGGTCCATCTGTCCCTCTAAACTGGAGCTAAACTGGAGCTAAACGAGCTAGGGTAGCTCTGAGGGAGGGGAGGTCAGAGCAAGCCTGGGACAGGGCCTGGACCTAGTCTCTGTTCATTCCCTTCTGTCCTCTTTTTCAGGGGCTTAGAGAACTACAAGGCCTGCAGAATATCCCAGAGGAGCCTCGCCATTGACTTCTTCCCCCCTCTCCAGATATTAAAGAGCCTGAAAGCCTGTTTGAGTCACACGGCCCTTCTTTTTCCCCTTAACCCCTACTGTTCACTAAGGTGGCCTGTCTCTAAAGCACAAAGTTACTAGGAGGCCCAGAGATAATCCAGTCTCTGTGTGGAACCTTTAAAGTGCACCTGAAGTCCTACCTCCAGACTGTTACTTGGCAGCATTTGCTGTTAGACTTAACTGCTCTGCCCTCTCCTGTTGCCTTGACAACCTGGGCCCCCACCTGACCCTTCCATTTCTTTTCTTGGACACCATTCTTTTAATTACTATACAGAATGGGTCAATTCAGGGTGGAGGTTTGTTCTCAAGGCAGTCAACCTTTCACTCCTGGCCCTAAGGTTAATCCCTCTCCCACACCCTAATCATTCCTCAGGTACCTTAAATTACACCCATGCCCGGTCCGACCCAAACTGGCCTGGCTACTGCTTCTAAATAGTTCCAGTTTCCACCAAGGGTTACAGAGCCAGATCCCGCCTTCCCTGGTCTGGCCCCTATTTCTAGGTTGAGTCCAGCATCCAATAAATGCAAAGCCAAGTTCAACCCCTTTATAACTCTGACTGTAGCTTTATAATTCCGACCCCGCCCTCAGCATTCAGTTTCTACCACTCTGCTTCTTGGCTTGTCTGGCAGCTGTCCTGCTTTCCTACCTCGGCTCCGTTCTAAATTCGTCTTCTAGCCAATCATTATAGACTTACTCTGCCTGCCTACGCAGAGCCCTGGCCCGACCCCTTTCCTGCCGGCTGCTACGCCCACTTCTATATAAGTCCTGCTTCCGCTGAGCAGCATGGAGGGCAGCACCACCCTGTTTGTGTTGGCAGCTGTCTAGGAGTCCCTCATTCTCCAATCTGCAAAAAGCCGGGCCCACCCACCCCAATCAATGCTCCAAAGCTGTCTTCTGTCAATCCCCTAGAGGCTAATCTGTGCGAGGCAGGTGACCCCCAGAACCTTGTCAATAGCCCATGGTCTATCACTCACTCTTGAGCCAATCAGCGTGTAGCACCCACGAGGCCGAGAACACCCCCTTGGAGCCCGCCATCTGCTTTCCAACAGCTCCTCTCGGGCCAGTCAAGGCATAGCTCTGAGAGACAAGGGCCCGCCCCCAACCCTGGACGTCCAGGTCAATCTACGGCTCTTGGCCAATCAGCGAACCAGGAAACGCTAGGCACCTCCTCCACAGCCCACGTGAGCTGTGGGGAAACGCAGGGGCGGCTTCTAGGTGTTGCCGCTGCCGCTGCTGCCACAGCCACCACCACCGTCACCACCACCACCACCGTCACCACCGCCACCGCCGCCTTGGAACCCTGGCCTGGGGGGCGGTGGGGCCTCACATGGAGCCCCCGCCCCCCGGAGCTGCCAACGCTGCCGCTGCCCTAAGCACAGGTGAGTTGGGGCCTGGAGGGTGGAGGGTTTGGTCCGTGACCCTACGTATTCTTCCCGCCCCCGCGCGAGGGATGTGGCTTGGCCCACAGCCCGCTGGTGTTCGGCTCCCCACCACGACCACCACTGATAGTGGACCTCCCTGCGGCATTGTCCCCTCCATTCACCCCTTGTAATGGATCTGACTGTGGCCTAATCCCCATTCCTGTTTAATAGTGGATCGGTCTGCGTGTTTATAATTTTCCCCGCCTCATTTTACAGTGGACTCGTCCATGGTCTTGCCCCTCCACCCCCACTTACTGGGGACCAGTCTTTGACACTCTCCAACTCTTTGACAGTAGGTCCGTCCGAGGGTGTTTCTCCTCTCCTCAACTTTCAGGGGCTCCGTCTGTGGCCTTGTTTGTTCCACGGCTCCTGTTTCTTGTAGTGAATCAATCCGTGGCATTGTACTCCCTCCACTCCTCTTTAACAATAAATTAATCTGTGAATTTGTATTCCTATCCTCCTCCAATCCCCCAGTGGATCTGTCCATGGCTTTATCATACACGTGCGCTCACACACCATTTTCCAGTGAATCGGTCTGTGTTATATTCTTGTATACACATTCCCTAGTTATCAGCCCATTGCCCTAACCTCCCTCTTTGGTAGTGTCAGTCCTCTAGTCCTTGGGTTTCTCCCTTCCTTTTAATAGTGGATCAGTTCAGTGCTTTTAGTGCTTCATATCTCCCCATAATCAGTAGCCTAAGTCCATGGTCTTGTCCCCTCTCCTTTTAATCAGTCCCTGTGTGATGACTTTTCTCTCCCACCATTATTATGCAGTAGTCAATGCACTGTTTTGCACCCCTTGCCCAGTAAACAGTATAAGCCTTTACACCACCACAACCCCACCTTTACAGGGGATTTGCTCATTGGCCTTTCTGCTCCCCGTTTGCTTGCATTCACACCCCCTCCCCTCTCATGAGTCCAGTGCTTTGCAATCCTTCCTCCAGGAGGGTCAGCCTTTCACTTTTATTCTGCTCCTCTCCTTTCCTTGTGGTGGCTCAGCCGAGGCCTTCCCTGACCACCTCCCACCTTCTTAATAGTGGATCAGCTTATGTGCTGGTTGAACTCAGGTCTTTTTTACTCTAAAACACAACCCCTCATGCACACTGTTAACCATTAAGACATTCTTCTTCACAACAATAAATGAATACATTAGTGATAATGCTAATAGTAGCCCATATTTATTGAACACCTACTAAAATTTATTGAGTTCCAGGGAAAGTGCTTTATATTAGTGAGCTCATTTAATCCTGACCATAAACCTACTAGATAGGTACTGAGGAAACTTCGATATAGACAGGCTAAATACCTTACTCAAAGGTGACCCATTAAGTACCAGGTTAGGGTGCCCTTCAGAACACAAGATAATTTTTGAGGCTCTTCTTTCTCACATCATCCCATCCTATGTGCAGCCCCACTCCTTAAAAACCACATCAATTCCATCTCCAAGCTTTTTGCTGTTCCCTCTGTCTGCAGAGCTGTCTGCATTGCACACCTTGTTGCAGCATCTATCCACCCCCAATCCCAGAAGATGTGTGACCTTAGTGATTTAACCACTTTCTCTTGGCACCCGTTTCCTCATTTGGAAAGGGGAGGGATCAGAACTAGAATCCTCTCCAGTGTAAATAAAGAATATCTGTGACTTAATAATGAAACAAGTAACCTCTCTGGCCTTATCTCTTACACTCCCAACTCTGTTCCAGCCACACTAACCTCCTCACTTGTCCTCAAACACACCAGTGGTCCAGCCTCAGGGCCTTTACATGCCCACAACACTGTACCCTCGATCTCTACATGGTTCCTTTTGGGGCTCTGTTCAAATGTCACCTAGTCCCTGACCATCTAAACTTGCACACCTAGCAGGAGTCAGACCCCTTCTCTGCTTTACTTCTCCCTTTGCCCCTTATTACTGTCAATCAGACAGTATAGTATGCCAATTTATTGTGTTGTCTTTCCCCATCAGGAGTCCCATGAGGGCTTACAGTTTTTGTCTGCTTAGTCACTGCTGGGTCTCCAGCACCTAAGAATATACCTAGTATATAGTAGGTGCTTAATACAGATTTATTGTGTGAATGAATGGGAAAAATAATTTCAGACAAATTGGGGGGGCACGTGGGGATGAGGAGGGCATATGAGAGCTAATTAAGAGGCTAGCTAGTTGGGCCCTGGCTGGTGTAGCTCAGTGGGTTGAGTGCTGGCCTGCGAACCAAGAGGTCACTGGTTTTATTCCCAGTCAGGGCATGTGCCTGGATTGCAGGCTAGGTCCCCAGTAGGGAAGCATGTAAGAGACAACCACACGTTAATGTTTCTCTCCCTCTCTCCCTCCCTTCCCTTCTAAAAATAAATAAATAAAATCTTTTTTTAAAAAGGGGGTTAGTTGGTTGGGACTGTTCATTCAGTTACTGAGTATCTACTAAGTACCAGGTACTCTTCTAGGCACTGAGGATGTGGGAGGAAAGAAAACAGGCAGGAATTCCTGCCCCTGTGGAGCATATATTTGTTAAAAGTGCAGGAGACAGACCATGTAAATGAAACAAATAAATAAAATTAGATAGTGTGTTAGACAAGTGCTAAGGAAGAAAAATGAAGTAGGGAAGGTAGGAATAGAATATTAGGATGGTTGAAATCTTAGGCAAGGGCAGGCCTCACTTAGAAGGTGACTCTTGACTTAAGGCCTGAAGGAGGTCAGGGAGGGAGCCATAATGTCTAGTGGAAGAGTACACTGGGCAGGAGGAAGAGTTGATGCAAAGGCCCTGAGGTGGGATTGTGCCTGGCATGTTTAAGGCACACAAAAGAGGCCATTGTACCTGTAGCAGAGTAGAGGGAGGGGTAGCAGATGAGATCTGAGACATGATGGACGCCCAGTGGTCATGGTGATACATAAGATTGTGGGGAGGGAAAAGGGTGACACACTGGGGCATAGCTAACATTTCTTGGATGTCTGCCATGTACTAGAGATACTTTTCTAAGCCCTTTACCTACACTGACATTTAATCCTTACAAAAGCCTTTGAGAGTAGGTGTATTTTGAGGGTAATTTACTTTGAGAAGGAAAGATCCCCATTTTACAGATGCAGAAACAGACTCAGAGAGGTTGAGTAACTTGCTCAAGGTCACACAGCTAGAACAGGGCAGAGGAGTATGAGGCTGAAGACCCAGAGAGAACAGCTTTGTAAGGGCTTTATTCAGTTATTCGGTGCATTGGACCACAAGAGGATGAATTAATTTTTCCTGGGAGATACCAGAACTTGATTGTGAGATAAAGGGTTCATCAAGTACTGGAAGGGGGAAGGGCATTCCTGGCAGGGAGGACAGGACATACATATCCTCAGAGGTGGGAGCTGGGATGGACTCACAGGGTGCTTGTGCCCACATTAGAGCCTTCGTACATGCTGTTCCCTCTGCCCAAAGCACCCTTCCCACAGATGTCAGCATGGCTTGCTACCTCTCCTCCTTCAGATGTCTGCTCAAATGTCACTTCTTCAGGAAAGCCCTCCATAGAGAGCTGGTGTTGTAAGGTGGCTAGGATCATTGACTGGGTTTGAACCTTGGCTCTGCCAACGTCCAGCTGTGTGACCT